AGTCCTCAAACATGAATATATTTTATTTATTTATTGAGAATTATTTACATATTAAAATTTTAGTTCTATATGTTCTAAACCATATGATCGTGAACAAAGAAAAAAATATGTTGGCTGACAGCATGAGCACACAGGGCGTGTAGTGCTAGTACATCATATTTCTCACTGCTGTGTGTAGCTTTCTCCTCAACCTTTTAACTAGCTATTTACTCATGGTTTTAGCAAATAGACATTCAGGTCTTTCTCTGGTATGGGATGCCCAATTTAACCATCCAATCATCACCTGATGTACAAACTGTCTGACATATAAAAAAGTTATATTCTAATTTTCTCATTTAATATCCTGTTTCACCTGGTAATATGTTACATTACGGAGTAAAATAGGCTGTGAAAGCTGTTTCATATTTATTTTAATTAGGAAACCTGTTTGAAAACAGTCGTTTTTGTTTTATTTTAATTAATCTTTCTTTTTTTTTTTTTCTTTTTTTTTTGATGTCAGTGATCATTAAAATAACTTCAGTAGGAATACAAATATTAATTATTAGATTTCTAAATACAAACCTGAAAACCTACACAAGAAACAATTCAAACCATCTCTGCAATCATCTGTTCATTGGATATATTTTCCATCCATCAAAACTTTTCTAGCCTTACACTGGCTGATGTGCAGTGAAGACTATGAGTTGTGCATACTCAGATGTCCCAACAGCCGGTGGCGCTATTAGAATGTTTTGAATCACTGACCAATCAGCGCTGTGCAGAGAACGGCGGTCGCAGGATTATTCTGTTTGTAAGACTCTAACAAACATGACAATATGCGGTTTTACTATTGAAACACAGCCAAATTGCGTAATTTAGTGGAAAAATGACAAGAATTATAATTTTCTCCAAAGAACATTTACGGAAAGACAGCATACTTCCTAGGCATTTCTTATAAATTACAACTGTTTGGACTAAATTAGTCTCAATGATTTGTGTTCTGTATTACTGCCATGAAAAATACACCTATGTTTGCACGACTCAGTTTATCTGTCATCTTCAGTGGACAAAAATAGTTAGGAACTCCCCGTTTTGATGCTGCGTGTATTGTTGCGAACTCTTGAGACTAATTAAAAATATGTCTTCGTTATGACACTACGATCATAAATGTCGGTGCTTGAGCCTTTGAACTTTCTAATGATATATTGTTTGCCAATATTAATGAAGGCTTTGGTGGTAAAAGCATGCAGTAAATGTAAACAAACACATTTAGGAACCGGCGATGGTCTCGAGCAAGTTAATGGATTAAACGGCGTTGTTGACGGGTGGAGAAACGTGGTTTATCTAAATGATCAAACTGGAGACCTCACTTTCAGAAACATCCGAAGCAATCAGTACGGAAAATATGAAGTGGAGGTCATATCCAGCAGTATGGTTTTACACAGGATATTCCGTATTGCTTTTAGTGGTGAGTAAATCAGTCTAAGATTGTCTCGTGACTCTGTGAACACTCAGTTTAGATGTTCAAATGAACACTTAAATTTAGAATAAACCAAAATAAACATAACTAATGTTATAGATACATGACAGGGCATTTTAGTGAAGCATTTAGGACGAAATCTTTATACTTGTAACTCAAGTCCTCATCTGAATGTGGCTCAACAGAATTCGTAGCACTGTTGGCACTCTTTCAAGATAAATAAGCAAACACAGCTTCAAAAACAATCCCAATTTTATTATAGGCTATTATTTATTATCACCAATATTATTTATTATTAACTGTTTATTATCAATAAATGAGCCTGCAATAGTACACTGAAACCACTCGGAGTTTGAAGAGCAAAAATCATCAAACTGCAACAAAGCGGGATGTTACATTTGATAAGGATCACACCGACACAGAGTAGCATCAACTTATTGTAGGCTACATCTTTTTTACTTAGCCTCTCGGTCTCCAGGCCCAAGCAAATGAACACATACATTGGAGAGACATAACAGAATGCTTTCCTATCATCCCGTTTAAACATTTTCCCGTATTTCTCCCGTATTTTTAATCTTTCTATGAACAAAAAAAAATCCCACTGGGTGTATTTTAGCCTATATGTTTGCTACATTCGCTTCCGGCCAAACCTTATTTGATTAATCACGACAACAAATTCATAGGTTGTCCAGTTGCCAGATCTTGTATGAAAGGCATCTTTCTCACACGATCGATGCATACAAATTTCAACCCATTTGTCCCCTCAACTTGGCAACCTACAGTCCAGTGATGCTATATCTGTGCAGGGCGTAGGCTACCACGGGAAGGAAACAATTATCACTGGTAGAAATGGGAGAAGAAGACTCAGGTGGTGCTCCAGTGAAAAAATATATATACTTGTAAGTGTATAAATATACATGTATAATGAGATATAGCTTACACTTCAAAAGGCTATTTAATTGATTAAATATAAGCACTGCAAGTTTCAAAGTCAGGTGCTGCAGTGCTTTGTTTACTGCGGTTATGGGGGAAACGGCTATATTCCTGTCGAAAAGCGCCACCTGCTGGTAGAGAATGAATTTGCATTTTCAATAAGCCCTTCTGCTCTTTGTTTAGACCAAAGCCAAAATGACCCTTATTTTTACGCAGAAAACACATAGTTGTAAATGTGAACTGGTGGACATTGGTGGACAAGAAGATAATGAATTATAAAACTCTAAAGATATAGCCTACACTAAGATATTGTTGATAAGGTTGTTTGCATTTTAATATAACTTCTGCAATAAAAATCACAACATTTACCATAGTTTGTAAAAAAAATTGTTGGTGCAGACTACAAAAAAAGTAGTGTAGTAGAGAAGACTAAACAAAGCTGCAATTTTCACATTCCTTCATAGGTTTAACATTCTGTTCTTGTGCTTTTTTCAGTAATATCGAATCACAGTTTCTATAATTTATCATTTGTGTAGCTGTAAAATTTGTGATTCTTTCTGTTTTCTTACAGATGTCCCTGCAGGTCAAGGGAATGGAACACAGTCATAGTGAGAATCCCAACAGTTACAAGTATATAACGACTTTAACAATATTAATTGGTTTTGGAATCGCTAGACTGTGTAATTGTTGTAAAATCTTGGAATAAAAGAAAAATGGCTTAGTTTAATTTACAGCTGATGGTACAGTTTGCATTGCACATGAGCAATGTATTCTTAATCTCAATTTAAAAGGCATAAAATGTGAAATTCAGGTGAAACATTCAGGCATACATGTTATAAATGAAATGGAAGTGCAAGCAAGACACATTCGGGCTACCTGTCAACAGGGTCTCAGTTTCTTTGCAGTAGAATTGATCAGATTGTTTAAAAGTTTGTTTGGAGCATTCACAATAATATGAAAATTAACATGAACCGCTTTCAGACCCCTGAAACAAACTATGTTTGAAAACACATTGATATACTTTATAAATCAGGGTATCTTCCGTCCAATCAATTTTTGTTTTAATATTGAAATCTGAAAAATGAAAAACGGCACATATTTCGTTTTTCAATTCCTCCTTTGTCTAAAATGCAGCGTATTGTCTAAAACAAAAGTTATCATTTAACTTTAACTTTTAACATAAGTTAAAGTTGTTCACATAAATTGATAGTGGTCAATACATTCTCCCCGTGCTGCAGTGCATCGCGCAGCTTTGCACACATATTTTAATGGGTGGATAACTATAATAAAACAGGCATGCCTAGGGCCAAAAGGCTCTGCTTCAGTATGGTTTGTGTCAAGCCATTCATTAATCTGGCTGTTTGATGAAGAGATAAAATGTAGTAGAAATAAACATGTTAAGAATCAATAGAAGCGGAGGACTATTATTAAGGTTTTTTTAGGACTATTATTATGTTGTAATGTTTGGTTGACCAATTAGCAGAGAGGGGCGTTTCATTCCCGCCCACATGTAGAGATCGAATATTCAAGTTGTTTATTCGTTTTCTATCCCTGAATGTAAAAACGAAAAATTAAGCCGGATTCTTGATTTTTCGTTTTGTTTGAATAATTGAAAAACGAAATATGTGCCCGTTTTTCATTTTTCAGATTTCAATATTAAAATAAAAATTGATTGGACGGAAGATACCCTGATTTAAATACTACTGCAGCTTTATATCATTTTGATGTCTGCCCTCTAGTGGACTAATGTTGACTACAGGAAGGATTCTTTGTTCAGTTAGGAAAATGTAGTAATTGTTCCAGCCAGTCTATTTGAATATGCATGCACTTGAATGCATGTAATAAAAAATGCACAATAAAATTGCTTTAATATTCTAATTGACTTTTGGAATTTTGTATTTTTGTGGTACAGGGAATCTATCTTTTCTTCAACAAAACATGAACAAGTCAGGAAACTTAATTGAATATCATCCTTTATAAAGTTACTATTTATAGTGTGAACAAGTCTATTTTATATAGTTATCTAAAGTAAATACACAAATGCTATAAATCTTGACCCTAGTGAACCAGGAGGGCCTGATGGCCTAAACCTCAAGCCTAAATAATAATTGTATTGTGAAACCTTTGTTTGCTTCTCCTTGACTGAACTTCTGACTGACTGAAATTTTTTTCTGTATATTTGAGCTTTATATATTAATTGTTATTTTCACCAGTCAACCTGATTTATTAGCAGCTATCAGAGCTACATTTAAACACAAAGTGTTTACACATTTTTACACTGTTTACACTTCTGATTGGGAGTCATTGAACTTATGAACACATGGAGAAGGATGTTGGCTTATTATTAGGAGTGGCTGATTACAATCTTTACCTACTTTTCCTAACTGCAAAGTTAGGCCTATCGTTGTAGCCTTATAACTCAGTCTTATGTTGGCAACAAAAAAGTATAGAAATTAGAGCGTAGACAGGACGTAGACTGCAATATTTCATCAAATTTGAGTCATGCATCATTATCATTAGGAATATAGATGAAGAATTCTGTCATAACACAATTTCATCTCAACATAAAAGTACTCAGAAGAAAAAACAAAAAGACAGTTTAACATTTTTAATATCTGATTGATCGTTGTCTTAAGTTGATGTCAGTTCTCTTCTCTCCTGTTCTGGATTTGATGTCATAAACCAGAACAACAATGGCAGCCACGGCAGCCACACCCATCAAAGCAGAGATGACCAATCGGATCACAACTTCAGCAGTGCCACAATAGTGGACAGAGTCTGAGGAAAGAAAAGAAATCCAGATCAGATCAGGTCAGTAAAAACAGCTATGCTGAAAAAACTTTAAAATCACGTACCTGAACCTAACCAGTAGAGTTCAGTGTTGGTGAGATGTTTGGTCTGGCTGCTGACAGGATTGTTCACTACACAGCTGTAGGTGTTGTTATCCTGATATTCCACCTCCAGAGGTAGAGAGAGACTGATGCTGAGATCAGACACACTGATGCTGGACAATAAACTGTTTCCTTTGTACCAGGAGAGAGTCACATGACTCACATTCACCACTGAACACAGGAAGATCCTCGATGATCTTTCAGATGATGAAGAAGATTGTAAAGTGTCAATGAAGATTACTGGAATGGGCAGAGGAGCTGAAAACACAACATGCTTTATAAAGGTGCATTCTGAATCATCATTTTGACAATGATGTAGCCTATTCTCCATGTAATAGGTTACATAATAATCCACTCACCATACACAGTAACTCTGTAAATCTTGGGTATGTCTTCATTTCCAACCTTCATACTTAGATGATAAACTCCAGTGTGTTCAGTTGTGGTGTTTCTAATGGTGAGAGAGCCGGTGTGATCCAGCTGCAGTCGGCCTCTGAATCTCCAAACCTCATCATAATATGTACCGTTCACTCCCTTGATTCTGGCGATTCGCTCCTCTCCAAACCTCCACTCTATCTTGTCATATCCCTGTTTATCAGTAACATCAATCTTTAGAGTGACAGAATCTCCCTCCATCACTGATACTGACTTCACTACATCTGTCTCTGCAACAAACACACCTGGAGAACATGTAAAAAATGTTGTAACACTTCACAATAACGCTCAGTTTGTTGCCATGTCATGAACCAATGAACAACAATTTACATCTAGGTTAATGTTAGACTAAATATGCAATATTTCATGGCTAAATCACGTTTTTTTTAAATATATATATAAATACTAATTTATACAAGTTTTTACGTTTATGATACCTAATTCCTTATAGCATCAGCAATATTGTAAATCATTTGAGTTAATCGTTATTACGCTTTGATTTCAGTGACGTCATTAAAATACAAGTACTTACCAACCAGATGAGAAAAACACAAACAAAACAAAATAAACGTGTGGGTCATTTTCTTTAGCCGTTTGAGATAAATCGCTTAGTATGCATCCGTTTTCGACAGGAATATATCATTAATACGATCTGTAAATAAGGTTTAGAGATAAACACAGAAAGACCTTCAGACAGCGCGCTTCCGTCAACGTGCAAGCAATGCTTTCTTCTGTAGTTCAGTTTCACATCCTGGTTAATGCTATTACTTAACATATTGTGCTAAATCATTCTGTGTCTCTCAATATAATTATGTCATATTGTCTTTACCTAACGGTCTTACTTTTTAGGCTTCCTTTTTGTGCCCAAGTGTTCAAGTGGGGGTGAAGACCACAAGTGTGTGTGATCTTTTCATTACCTGATGGGACACATTGTAGTGTTGTAAAAATGCAAGTGTTTACAGAGCTTTATTTAGATTTCCAATCCTTTGCATTTTAAAATAAACTTCTAAATGTCTGTTCAGTACAGATGACACACTTGTGGTGTCTTGATTTATTTCCAGAGCATGATGGGATACACTTAATACCAGTCTGGAGAGGTTACGGTCAATTTGGCGTTTTTTTTTTTTTTTTTGGACAGGCCCAACATATATAAGGGCTACATGTTCACCAGAGCAGAGAGGACCAATCAGAACACAGGACAAAACAGACCCAGGTGGTCTGAGGCATAAAAACATTAATCAATAACAGCACCCACACCTCATTATTTAAAACAGTGACGAGGGTTGGAAAGCCTTCAGATGAACATTCTAATGTCAAAATGATTATAAAAAGATGTGCATCTTGAATACTTTAGTTTTAAAATCACTAAATATTAATAATTAAAAAAGCTTCCAATAGGCCTACACGTTGTCATAGTTCAAAAACTGCAGTAGGTCTATATTACCATAGGCAGTAACTGAGAGCTAATAAGGGAGTATATTGAGAAATGGCAGTAATAGAGCAAACAGGTTACATCCTTTAACCACGTGATGGCGGCACTTGACTGTGTTTTGTGCTGTGTTTCGGCCATCTCCTACATGGCTGACTTGAGACGGAAGAATACGACACATTCGGTAAGTGACCGATGCTCACTGGTTTTGGGGGGCATTAGGGGAATTTTTATAGCCTAGTGCACTAAAGCCGTTTTAAATGGCGACTTTCTGGAGAAGTGCACTGATTGAGAAACGCCATCATCTGTGCATTATAGGCAGGCTACTAATTACAAGCTGCAATGAAACACAACAATAGCCTACTGAAGAAAATGTTTATTTATTTACTTATTCATTGTTCATACATACAGTTCCGCCGCTACGGTCTGAATCTATAGTGTGAAACAAACAGCGTCATCGGTAAAGTCCGAATCTCGAATCAGTGATTCTAATGAGTCGGTTCGTTTTAGTGAATCAAAACATACAGCGCAACCATTGTAGTCCGACACCAGAACGAATTAATTTATGAGTCGGTTCTTTCTAATGAATCATATACAGCTCACTGTTTCAGTACTGACTGGTTGTTCAAATGCAAAAGAAAGACATAATCATTAAATGTAAAAAAGGGTATTTTTTTATTATAAAAGTAACAAACAATGCAAAATGCAATAAAATTGTAGAAAATATAAGATATATAAAGGGGATCAAAATACAATAAAACATAAGACTATAACTGACCTACAGGTATGCAGATGGATATGGAAATGTTCAAAGAAAGGACCACAAAAAAAAAAAAAAAAAAAAAACCTTTATATTAGAAAAGAAGTTATTTTCATATAGCCTAGTCATTTTACTGGCATTTAGCAGACGTTTATTAATTACATTTAACAGCATATTGTATATATTTTTAAGGAAATTGGCATACAGAGAAAAGGGTGTTACTCAGCGATCTGCTTTAAGAGAAAAACTGCACAATTTTTATCCAGCAGGAACAATGTATGACATAGCCTACCCTACAAGATCTTACAGTAGGCTACTGTGAAAAAAAAATGGAGAAAAAAAAATTAAAGGCAAAAGGACTGTTTGAAAATGAGTACATGTAGTTTATGTGTACAGGCAAATTGGTATTAGCTTATAGTAATGGAACTTTTTTTTTTTTTTAAATATAGCATCAAGACTAATGGTGAGCTTTAAACTGATTTCCACATTGAGGTTTTGACCTTCACTCTCAAAATAAAGGAACAGTTCCATATGATCTTTCTGGTCAAGATGTTTTATGATTTATGCTTACGATGTTTGACCTTTTTACCTTTTGTGAACCTCGTCAAAAACAACACAACACAAATAAAAGCATAAAGGCATAGTTATCATGACCAGAACATCATTCAAAAAGAAATGTATCACAAAAAATATTTAACGTTGTGTGACAACACATGCGTACACCTCATCCTCCTCTTTCTGAAAGAAATACAAACACAAAAGACACACAAGGCTTTAGTATAATAGCAAGATGTTTAGATGTTTTTTAAGAACAGTCTTTACCATCAAAGAAAACCAAAGAAATCCTCTCATACCACAACACTCACCACTTTAAAAACACTTTTTTCACACATGCATGCATGTTCAAGAGAGACAGCCAGACTGTAAATTCCACTGTAAATTCTCCTGAAGTAATTAAATTAAATATACTTTAAATTTTCAATTATTAAAAATGTCTATCTTTGGTTACCCTGATGAAAAAAATCTTAAAACAGCCTAAAGTGGTTAGCTGGTCAAGAGTTGAACATCATCTTAACATGAAACACACATGAATCAGCTGACCATCAGAAAAATATCATCATTATTATTATTTTTCTTTTCAGCAGGGTGTAGCTCATTAGTTTACCATGAGTCAAATGAATAACTAATATGGAAGAGCTTAAAGGGTTACTCCACCCCAAAATGAAAATTTTACCCCAATGTTGTTCCAAACCCGTAAAAGCTTCGTTCGTCTTCGTAGCACAATTTAAGATATTTTGGATGAAAACCGGGAGGCTTGTGACTGTCCCATTGACTGCCAAGTAAATAACACTGTCAAGGCCCAGAAAAGTATGAAAGATTGTCAGAATAGTCCATCTGCCATCAGTGGTTCAACCGTAACGTTATGAAGTGACGAGAATACTTTTTGTACGCGAAGAAAACAAAAATAACGACTTTATTCAACAATTTGTCTCCTCAGTGTCTCTCCGCATCACCGTAGCGCCATTTTGGAGAATATGAGCTGAACGCAGGCAGTGTACGCTCTTCTGTGTCAGAAATTAAGTTCATACTTTTCTGGGCCTTGACAGTGTTATTTACTTGGCAGTCAATGGGACAGTCACAAGCCTCCTGGTTTTCATCCAGAATATCTTAAATTGTGTTCCGAAGACGAACGAAGCTTTTACAGGTTTGGTACGACATTTTCATTTTGGGGTGGAGTATCCCTTTAAGGAACTAATATCAAGCATCTATTTCAAATAGAACACAAAGATACCATGCTGGAATTAGACCTCAGACTTCAGTAAAAAAGAAACAAAATACCTTGTTATGTAGTCAAAATTTTACATATCACTGTTTTGATAGCAGATTCCAGTATTACACATTTTTAGTTAATATAACATATTAATGTTATATTGAAAAATTGACTCTAAAGTCTCTATTTCTATTGACTATATTTCGAATGAAGGCTGGAATATTCACACTCTTATACACACTCTTTTTCTCTCACAGACCATTTCTTTCACAGACATACTAACACCGTCCTCACAGTGTTTTGTTCCGGAAGTCCACAGTTTCCTGTGGAACTGTTTAACAGTGTCTGTTTTATGCAGAAACACCTTGAGCTACAACGTTTTTAACAGTAGAGTATGAACCCTTATTTTGTAGAAATTACACTATATTTGGGCTGTTTGCCAATAAATAACATTTTATTTTCAAATGGCTTCACACTGTGCACACTTGTGCTATTTTAGTTTGTTGCATATAACACATTTATCTGAATGCCACAGAATGCTCAGTGGAACTTCTCATTTAAGACAGTTTTTTATTAGTATATAGTCTATCACTGCCATACACAGTAAATGTGCCTGTCTGTACAGTTGCTTAACGTCAGTGGTGCCTGTCTTAGTCCATTAGCAGTTAGCCACTATAGCTATCGCCAGCAGCTTCTGGTGAATAGCTGCTATTGAGAAGTTGAGAAGCTGGTGTTCAGAAAACTGATGAAGATGTGCTACCAGCAGCAGTTAAAACTGTCACATTTCAAGTTAAAACATGAGTAGCTCATGTCGCGATATACAAGAGAAACTGTCTTAATGCACTGCCTTAACATGAAATGTG